TGTATCACAGCTCAGGAAAAAAAAGCACCAAAATAAAGCACCGAAATGTGCGCTGCTTTTCGGTCTGGTTACTACCGTTTATGTCAGAACCGGTGCCATCATGGCACCGGACACCGGTACCCATCCCTACTGACGAACCAGTGTTGTGCCTACATGTAACTTTAGGCACAGCTTTGTTACCAGCAGCTCATCACAAAACACACCACTTGTTCCTGTTTCTTTAGTTGAATCTATGAAAAAATCCTAGGATAACTAAAATAAGTTAAACAAAAACAGTAAATCTCTGTGATCAATTTGGGAAGCTGTGAGTTGACATATAAATATTGAGCTCACACACTTTTCAATGAAATTGTTCAGTGCGCATCAAACTGGTATATTTTAAAACGTTTTTAGAAGTTGTGATGTTTTTTTAAATCTTCGTGAACTTATAGAAATTCTGTTGACCCCGATGTGATCTATGATGCTCCTCTGAATCCTCACTCATGTGTCTCTTCTCAGTTCTGTTTTAACTGCAGGAAGCCTGGTCACGGGTTGGCAGACTGTCCAGAGGCTGACAGAGATGAGGAGATGGGCCGAGGCATCTGCTTCCGCTGTGGCTCCACTGAACATGAAATCTACAAATGCAAAGCTAAAGTGGACCCTGCTCTGGGTTAGGAATAAACACAGAGACTAACACCTGAACAGCTGTATCAGATTTGCCTGTAACACTGCTGTAACCATGCTGCTTCTCTCAGGTGATTACCCATATGCAAAGTGCTTTATCTGTGGTCAGACTGGACATCTGTCACGATCCTGCCCTGATAATCCCAAAGGACTTTACGCTCAAGGTAAAAAGACAGATATTCATACATCATGTCCTCGATAAGTAATTTCACACTCGCATGAGAGGGGATAGCTGGTTCCATGTTGGCAGTTTACTCAGTCTTTAAGCTACAATGGCAGGAGGTCTTCTTCTAACCTTTTAGCTCTCTGAGGTAGTTTTAATCAGAAAGGAGAACATTAGCATTCAAGTGTTTGTGTTTTAAAGCGCCTTGAGGCAACTGTTACTGTGATTTGGTCCTATATAAATAAAATTGACCCAGCATGTTTTTATGCATCCGGTTCCTAAATCTGTAAAGCAGACCTATTGTGCTCATTTCTAGTTTTATATTTGTATTTTTGGAAGCTAGCTTTGCACCATTGAATGTTTAAAATAACCCTTTACGATGACAGAACTGCATCTGCATCTTGTGTTTTGCAGGAGGTTGCTGTCATATTTGTGGCTCAGTGGAACATTTTCAGAAGGACTGTCCAGAGCACCAGACTCCAAGTGAGTACCTTTGGAATTAAACGTTTGCTTTTGGGATTTCAGTGCACCTGAAAAATGATCCATTTTAGATTATTTTGCAAAATCACTCAGAAGTCTGATATTAATTAGAGAACATCTTTGGCTTAGGAAGCTGAAAATGTAAAGGTCTGTAGGTCTATAACAAATGTGTTTCTAGCCTGTGGTGTGGTGGGTAGCTAGAAATAATGGGAAAGGATTTGGGCGGGGCATGGCTGATGTTTCTTATTCTTTCCCTTTTCATATGCTTCCAGATAATCATGTGACAGTGGGCTGGTTGTCCAACAACATGAGTGCAGACCATGAGGAAGTGCACATTCCAGTAAAGAAAGCCAAACCCAAGCAGCCTAAAGTGGTGAAGTTCTAATCACAGAACTGAGCAGTGCTAATGTGTGTCCCTCGTTGTACTTCTCTGACCCACCTCAGCTTCTGGACTTCATAAATGGACAGGTTACCCACTATCAGGGAATGAAGTCTTGTATACCACTGTATATGAATGAGATCTTTTTAATAAAAAGTTTTCCACAGCTACTTTTGATATGCTATAGTTAAGAATTCTTGTTGCAGGAAGTAGTCATAAGTGGACACAGACTAAGGCCCCTGCAATTTCCCTCAGCATATGGATTGCCCGCTCAAACAGTGGATTGTAAATTAAACAATCAGGATGTGATTGAAGGGAATTTTTATTTCACCAAGAATTTTACAGTCGTCCACTGGGTTGTCTTCAGTTGTCCAATTACTTTTGAGCCTCTGAAAATGACAGGGTGTATAAAAATGGCCTAAATGGCTTGTGCAATACCTTTGTTATTAAAGCTGTCATTAAATAAAAAGTCTTTGTACAGCGGCTGTTACTTAAGGACTGTATGTGTGGATGTGGACTCCACTTGCTGCATAATCAGCACATGTGTGGTTGTGATGCTTTGTGGAGCTGCAATGTGGAAGCACGGCCACTCAGAGGCAGTACTAAGTCTTTCTAAGCTTCTGTTATGGACCAGTTAAACTTTGGCCTGCAAAATGTAGAGAACTTATAGTCAGTAGGCTGCAGGCCTTCCTCTAAAAAATTGTGTCTTTGATTCTCACAGCGCTGAAAGTCCTGTTTTTATGTTTTGCATAGAAATCTGGTACAGTGCCAACAACCAACATCTTTTTCTCTTTAAGGGGTGTTTTAAAGCTGCAAGGAAAATTTCCTTCTCATAGGCATAAGGGAATAATGTGATAATATTGCAGTGTGTTTTCAGTTTTCACAGCTCACCAGGGGAGCTTATATGACTGATCAATAAGAATGTCAGCAGTCCGACTTGATAATAAACTGAACCTCAAACATTATACACTGGCAGCTACAGAGAGGAGGCTCACGGGAAGCTTGAGGAATAACAGATCATTTTTTTGGACTTTACTCAAATGTTCACTCCAGACTTTTTCTTTCAAGATGAAGATAAATCTTTGTTTTCAGTGCAACAGCAAGGGCCTGTGTTGCACTGAAAACCTCCCCTGAGAGCACGAAGAAAAGAACTTACATCATTGATGATGCAAAAGGTTTCTTGGAAATCCAGTGCAGTCCTCGGCAGACAAAACTGCTTTAGTTGATGAGAAAAATAGTGGCTATCAATGCTGACCTGATGTACTGCTGGCCTAGAAAGATCTTTCTTCTTGAGTTTATTTATATTAAAAAGAAAACGCTTTATATATCAGAACATAATAATCATCTACTCAACAATGAATTACAGTAGTCCAGCCTGGAAGTAATAAATATATAAACTAGTTTTTCAACATCGGGATATTTCTAATTTTAGAGATATTGTGCAAATGGAACAAAGCACTCCTACATATCTGTTTAATATGTGCATTGAAGGATATATCCTGGTCAAATACGAGCCCAAGAAAAACATCAGCAATCTAATTACTCTGGAAAGAATTACAAAGCTCTATCTGAACAATCTAAAGTCCATCATTGTAGCCCAAGAAAAATTCTTCACGAGTGGAAAACAATTAAGACCCAAAGGTCTGACTGTGCAATGTTCAGAGAAACTGCAACAACCCTTCTTGATCTTGGACTCATTACAGTACAACTTGCAAAGGTTTGTGCGATTATGACTTCTAAAAGGAACATGTCAGCACAGAATCAGAATACTTCATTAATCCCTAAGGAAATTATGTAAAAGCACAGTGTAGCTTTGCAGAGCTGCATCTAAACAAAACATTAAAAACTTCTGGAACAATAAAACCAAAGAGATGTTTGTCCATAGTAACAGCAGCACGTTTAGAGTAATGGCACAAACACCTCAGACCAGCTGTGAACACAGTGGTGGAGGATGATTTGGGCACCTTGCAGTCACTGAGCGGAGCATGAACCAAAGTTTTCTAGAGTCAAGTGTGAGGCCATCTGTATGAAACCTAAAGCCTGGATGAAACTGGGTCATCTACAGGGCAGTAAATGCAAGCACAGCAGCAAATCTACAAAAGAATAACTGAAAAAAGAAAGAATCAGTGCTGCAGTGGTCCAGTCAAAGTCCAGACCTCAAACACGCCTGAAATGCTGTGATGGGACCTTCATTGAGCTGTGTATGAACAAATGCCCACAAAGCTCAATGAAATGAAGCAACACACTTACATTAAGTAGTGGAGCACAATGATGACATCAACTCGTCCCCATGCAGTTCAGTTCAATATTATTTAAATAGCGCCAATTGATGACAACAGTTGCCTCAAGTCGTTTTATGTTGTAAAGTAAAAACCCTACAGTAATACACTAATGCACGGTTGAATTGTGGCTGGTGTCTAAGATAATGCAACCACAGTCTTACGTTCATATGCATTAGTCAGTTGTAACTGATCACAATTGTATGTTAAACTGATTTCATGAATTAGATCATAAAGTCCTCTGTTTCTCCATCTTCATCAGCCACATCTCTGCTTTACCTGGATGTGTTGTGTTCCTCTTCTTTCTCTGTAGGATTGCTGCCATTTCTCTCACCTATTCACAGCTATGGTTTTGGTTAAACCTGGATCATGCAGTCTGAGTTGGTCTCTCTGTGTGACAGTTAATAAATAATGGACTTTAATGCCTCTGTGGAACAGATTTGGCTGGTACTCCACATGTTGCTTATGTTAGGGTTAGGTTAACATCTTGGCTTCACTTCCAAAAGAGTTAATCAAAGAAAGGTCTTACACAGGAAATTATGACAAATGTATATTTGTTTTATATGCTTGCATGTTAATGATGGTATATTTTTCACACAGTTGCTCATAGGAAGGATAGTTTCTGAAAATTGTGACACAGTAAATCATAGCAGAGTGAGTGGGGGAGAGTGGCTACCCTCATAAGACCCCCCCCCCTCCCCCAAACACACACACACACACACAGTCTGCACACAGCTGGATTCTTTCTCATGGAGGCAAAATGAAACTGCAGCCAGACAGCTCCTGCACTGTGCCAGCTCGCAGCCCACAGTGGAGGATTACACAATTTACCAAAAGTTTTCATCCACAGGAGAGTGTGCCTTATAACAAAAGCACAGAGGCTTCATTCTCTTATGTCTCCTGGTTCCAATTTCAGAGAAACTGAAAGGGGGCCTTTCCTCCAAGTATTGTTTTTATGATTTTGAATTGCCCAACATCTTGCCTCAGTCCTGTTCTCCTCTGAGCATGCATACATACGTAAATCTTCAGAACCTTAAGGTCATATCCGTACCTACTATAATGATGGCACCATTAAAAGTAATCATACACTACTCTTTTCGATATATTAGCAACATGGCTCAAGCATCGATGGTACAAACAGCTATCAGATGCTAATGGCTTTTTGTACATTTTTTTGTAGTTGTTTTGTGTTTCTTTGCTGTAGTGCTGTGATATTTTGCACTCTGTACTTTTTATGCATTTCTTTGCTGTTGTATTCTTCCTCCTTTGAGTTTCTTTTTATCTATCTTTGTGTCTTATTTTATTTTTTCTGCCTCTTTTGTGTCTCTTTGGAGTCTTTCTGTCTGCTAATAATTGCGTGACTTTTTGATTTTGTGTCTCTTTGTAATCACTTTATATTTTTTTGTGCAGATTGAAGCCAGTGGTCCTTTTTGTCTTTCATTTTAAAGTTAATGCTAACCACTAACACTAACCGTGTTAGTGCAATTCTATGGATAAATGCACGTGAAATTTGTGCTGAATTTATAAGATGGTAAAAAAAAAAACATGGGCTAGTAATTATATAGCACTATTCTACTCTGAGTACTCAAAGCCTCATTCACCCAATGACTCACACATTCATACAATAACTTTTTTCTATACCTTGTCTGACATTCTCACACATTTAGACTCTGATGAATACTTCAGGGACAACTCAGGGTTCAGTATCTTGCCAAAGGACACTTTGACTTGTGAGGAGGAGGCGAGCCACTCTACTCCCACTCTTCCTTAAAATTGAGCTTTAAAACATGTGTTTACTGTTATTAATTTAACCCAACCTATGATCTGTTTCTGACCCAAGTCATGTTCTCCTTCTGTCTGCTCCTTCTAGCATAGAATCTACCTCCATCTCCCCCTATCCCAGCATAATGGCCTCCTTCACTACATCCATGAATCCTTTCTCTCTTTGTCTTTGTATGTCTCTCTAACTTTGTCTCCAAACTGCTAAATTGAGGCAGGCAGCCAGTGGAGGGAAGCTAGAACAGGGGTTATATGCTCTCTTTGAAGAGTTCCTGTTAAAAGGGATGTAGTCATGCAGTATTTTGTCTCCAGAGGGTTTTGGAGTAGTCACCCAATGTGTTTGTTCAATATTCAGCTCTGTAGCCAAGTGAATCCCCATTGTGTCTTGTAGAAGCTTCTTCACAAAATCCCTCCATTCCTTCAGGAATAGTGAATATTCTTATTCTTTAAAGATCTCCCTTCTTGGTCAAGTAGTTGGTTTTCCTGATATTTCATCATTTTTATCATCTTATACTGTTCCACATTTTGAACAAAATCTTCCATCTTTTCAGTTCGTATCTCAGCCTCAGCTATTTGTCTGACTGATGTTATTGAATCCTGATTGAAAACCATTTAGCTGTTATTTTTAAAGTTTTGTATCGACTCCAGTTAAACTTCCAGTTTCATTTACATTCATTTTAGTTTAATTTTCATTTACATTTGCCATCTTGTGCCATCGGTTCTTAGTGGTGCTTTTTTTTGTTTCTTCCCATTGTCACTCCTCTTATAAGTTCAAATATTAACCAAGAGTTTTGAGAACAGCGGTTTAACATGACAAGATATGTGGGATTGGTTACTTTATGCTTTTAATTAATAAAAACATATAACCTTATAATTAACATAATAATTAGTAGATGACCTGCTTAACCCCCTCACATACAGACATCCCAAGTCTTAAAGACAAACTGGAGGACTTCTAATTCTCTAATGTTTAACGGACACAATAAGCACAGTTTTCTTTATAGTTAAATAATTTCAAGTGAATTGAAATGTAGACCTTACCACAAAACAGGGATTTAAGTTTGGTAAGCAGTTATTTCAAGAATAATGGCTTTGAGAGGCTGTCCTTTCACTGATGTTCTTTCTACTATGTTAAAGCACACAGAAGTACACACAGAAGCCCATAACAGCTGATTTTTTGTAGTGATTTACTAAAAGTATGATCAGAAGTTCAGAGATGTATGTATGACAGATTTGATTTGGAGTAACCTGTACAGTTTCAGTTCTGATCTTGACGTTCATAACTACATGAATGGGACTGTGCTAAAAAAAAAAAAAAAGACAACCATGGTTTCCAAACGGACAGGAAATGAGTGTATGCTAAATCCCTCCCAAAACACTGTCTAATTAAACTTTCATAGCTATAACAAGGTCAGACCCAAATGCTCTCGGTTTAGTATCAGCAAAAGGCTATCCATAAAGTTTTTCTTGCAGTTGGTAATTAAGTTCCTGTGGGACTAAAACTGTTCCAGTAGCAAACTACACAAGGTCAGACACAAATACATCTGAAGCAGTGTACTGATCTCTTTTATTCTTTCAGCCTCAGTGGGATCCATTGTTTTCTTTGCTTTTTTTTATTACTTGGCTGCATTTCCTACCCTGAGGTGGAGCCTACTAATGTAACAGGTTCACTGTAACAGTAATCCCTTCCTGTTTATCTATTTGCATTTCCCACAAACCCTTCACACTACACACCCAAAATCACTGGGTTAAAAATGTTCCCAGTTTGGTTCACTGTTTACACACTTTTCTGACAGGATCAGATATAATTTTCTCTGTAACCCACTGTTGAATTGTTGGATGTTGTGAGTAATATATCCCAGAAAGTTGATTCTGTTCATCTGGATTTTGTGTTTTTAGTGGGAGAAACATTTCGTCACTCATTCAAGTGACTTCTTGTGTCAGTGCGCCCCAGGGTGGCTGTGGTTACAATGTAGCTTGCCATCACCAGTGTGTGAATGTGTGTGTGAATGGGTGGATGACTGGATGTGTAAAGTGCTTTGGTGTCCTTAGGGACTAATAAAGCGCTATACAAATACAGGCCATTCTTCACTCTCAGTTGACAGCAGGTTTCCCCAACCTAAACAGTACACTTGCATAATGACCAAAACTAGCATTACTGGCTAACAATGGGTCATGAACTCAGTTTCATAAACAGTAATATGCAAATTGTAATGGCCAATGATCAAGGGCCATGAGTACCACTCACTGAGAGTTGGAGAATGGCTGCAGTCACAGCATTTTAAGATGGTGAAAGGTGTACCCTTACTTTTACCCTGAGATTTGATTTTCACTCAGGTGTCATACACATCCTTGAACCAATGTGCTGAATCAGTGGTGTTCCAGGATAGGATAACAGAGCCCTCTCTTCCATTTCCTCTATATACAAATTGGTCACAGTGGGGGAAATTGGGGAACCAATGGCACACCCATGTTTCTGCCTATAGTACTGGTCCTTGTGTGTGAAATATGTGGCATGAAGACACTGGATAAGCTGAAGGAGGTTCTCTGCTTAGGCTACTAGCCTCCATGACCCAGTTGCAGATAAGTGGAAGAAAATGTATGCATGACATAACTGTTTATATCAAATGTGCAGTATTTTTTGGTAATAGTTTAATAAAACAGCTAGATATTCTAACTTGAGGTCTATTATATAGCAAATGCAGAAAAAAATGTTTAAGAAAGTAAATAAGCAGGTGCTCTAAAGGATATGAATGTTTGCTTGCAGGACACCTGGAGAGATGTATAATTTTTTTTCTCTTTTTCTTGAGTCTTTAGTGATATTTTCGTAGTTTCCCATCATTCTTACCACACACACACACACACACACACACCTCATCTGTTTGGTTGCTGGTTGTCGCTGGGTGATGACGTACATCCACGTTCCCGGTGCAGCTTGTCAACAAAAACCCAAAACAAATTGGCGGACGCATAAAGGTGCAGCTGAAGCGCTGAAGGTAGGGCATTAATAGATGTGCTGTTCTCATATAGATGTGAAGGAGCGCTTCTACCCTCGTGCTTGTGTTTACAAACAACCCGTGTCTCACTCTGAGCTGAGCTCGCTAGCACTTGCTAGCTGCTTGTTCTTGTCATGTTAGCATACAGTGCAGTCGCGGGATCTGTTCTCAGTGTAAATCTCAAGTTGCCCCCAGTCTTGAAAAAGCAAAGATCGCTGACGCGTTTCAATAGTTGAGACTGAGTTTCCTGCAAGAAGCACCAAGAAGTTTGTTTGATTCGGAAACAGACGTCCAACTGTGAGAAGGAGCGCATTTCTTTTAATCATTCATGGGACAGCTGTTTGGACATACATCCTAATACTTAGAGTGGACTGTGAGAAAACATTAAACGAACGGGATTTTAGTACATATATTAGTCTCCCAAATGTTGCTGCTCAGCACACTTGCTCTGTAACTAGAAATCCTGTTCAACAAAGTCTGAGTTTAAAAATAAACTCTGAGTTGATCACCTCTGAGATGGGCAACTTTGAATTTTCTGTTTGAGAACAGCTGATCAGAGTAAATTTAATCAACTTAGAGTATGTTCACCTTGTTCACCTGCGTGCGTGAGTAAAAGCCGTCGTCAGTGGAGCTCTATATATGTTATTTTGTGACGTCTGTTGTTATCATTTACTCAAATTTTCGTTAAGCTAATTATTCAGCTGTAACCTGACAGGAGCGAGATGTGGGAGCCTGACGATCTGGAAAAGAGATCAGACACAGTTAGCTTGTCACCTTCTATTTTTAAATTGAGTCGGTTTTGTTAAATTACTGTTGTGTGTTTCATGGAGGAAGCCATAGTGATGCAGTGGTTAGCAGTGTTACCTCACAGCAAGAAGTTTCATACCCTGCTGCAGTCTTTTTGTTTGGAGTTTGCATATTCTTCCTGTGTCTTTGTGGGCTCTCTTCTACTAATCCAGCTTCCTCCTACAGTGCAATGACATCAATGTTACTGTGATTGGTCATTATAAAATGATCATAGGCATGAAAGTGAGTGTAAGTGATTGTTAGCCATTTACAATGGACTGGGCTAAAATACATGTAAAGGGAGTCTGCTCAAGTTTTTATTTTTCCTTTTTCAGTTTGTAAAATTCTGTGTTGATGTTGATGTTTAAGAGTCGGTGATGTTTAAGGCTTTCCAACGGTCCAATTCTGTTTGTGATCTTTAAATTAAAATAAATTATAAAGCATGCTATAACCGGCCTCTAGTCACATACATAAAATGCGATGTCAATTTTGGCTACTGTATTGGCTACAGTGGCAACATGGCTGAGCTTTTTACAACCATGTTATCATAACTATGTAACTGCTCTAATGCACTGATACACAGCCTTTAATTAGGTCTAAACACAGGCTGTGTGCAGTGGAGAAGGTTGTTGGATTGATAAATAGCACCATGAAGCCAGACACATGTTTGAGAGCACTGCACCTTTAATTACATCTTTCCAACATCTGCTTCAGTACTAAATGCTTATAAGATGAGATAAGATAAGATAACCTTTATTAGTCCCACACGTGGGAAATTTGTTTTGTCACAGCAGGAGTGGACAGTGCAAAAGTTATGAGGCAAAAATTAGAATACAATAAGAATAAATACAGTACACAACTGTACAGAATAGAATAAAATACTATATACAGTAGAATAAAATAAAATAAA